AGTTATCCCGCGCGGGGGGGATATATATCGAGTGTCAACATCGTAACCCCCCCCCACATTTCGTGATACGCAACACTAGCCCTAAGGGGTTTGTGAGGCTCACATAATTTTCCAACCGTGAAAGCAGCAACAACCGTCGCACTTGACCTGGTGCTCCGGCATGCAGGACATTTGGTGATTAGCTACGGATACGGACACACGCACACACTCACACTCCCCTAAGCCGAGAGCACACACTCACACGTACGTCTGATATGATAGTGCGCCACGTAACCTGCATCGATGTGGTGGTGCTATAGTGTGTATTGTAACAAACTGTCGGACCTCCTCGAGGGTTGCGTGGAACGTTCTTCAAGTTCTTCAAGTTCTCCTACACGACAACATGCAACTGTCAAAAGAAGCGTAGACTTTAATCTTTGATATTTAGACATACTCTGTGCAGGACGACCGAAACCCTCCAGCTTAGAGGACCACAATATGTCCTTTACCCTGCCGTGGATGTTTCAAAACCAACAAACATTTGCTGTGATCCACCGCTCCCTCTTGGACCCTCCGTCCCCAACCTTGAACAGGAGACTGCGGCAACGGTGTCGCTGGTATCGTGAGCGGTGGCTCATGTTGTGCTGAGTCCTGCGGCACTTGCGGAGGAGTTGGGTGCAGCGGTCGTGAGGGCGGAGCAATGTCGTGTTGCACGTCAGCCATCGAGCGCGCAGGCGTCTTGTGCGATACCACGTCCGCGGGGCCGTGCTGGATCTCGTATGCCGGTGATGACTATGGTTGATGATTGTATGCAACATACATGCAGCCCTTCTGGTCTGTTTCCGCAATACATCACTGGGGTCAACACCGGCTATTCGTCTACATCACTATTGTGTCGCTGCTGCTGCTGCTGCTGCTGCTGCTGCTGCTGCTGCTGTTGCGAGCCAAACCATTTCATTGAAAAGCACGGCGTTTGTAAAAGAATATTCACCAACATTTTCGCACACGTCGTGCGTCTGCCGTTTCGCCATGTGCTCTGCCGTCAACCGCCAGATCTCGTTCCAGCAACAATGACAACACCGCAGTCCACATCGCCAACGCCTGTTCCAACTATCCCGGACTCGTGTACTGAAGCCAATCCCCCTTTCCGATGGAACCCGGACACCGGCCTCAATGGACGTCTGTGTGAGTGCATGCCATGCGCCTTGAGGCCTTTCCGTGCTCCGCTCGAGTCGAAGTTTGGCTTATCGAAGACTATGTCGGGTAGACTATAGGGTATCCACTATGGACTGACGCGGAATTTTGACCTTTGAGGATTGACGCCAACATAAACTAACGGTTGAGGGTTTTGACAGGAAAAAATTCGCACCGCGTGTGAGCAAAAAAAGCCACCGGGACAGATTTAACTTGGCGTCCGCCAATCAGCTGTCTCCATTTAACTTGGCGCTTACTTAGCGTCTTGTTGTCTATATTTGAGTAATTCTGGCAATTACGCCGCTTTTTCTCCTGCGCGCACCGCATTCGAACCAACCAGTTCAGAGACCGACACATGACACACATCAGGCGGGGGCCTGGGCGCTGCAACTGACGCATACCAGACGCTAACAGCAGCAGAGACCACTCACTCTGGTTTCTGTGTGCACGAAGTTTCGCAATGTCAATCCACACTGGGTGTCGATGACGAGTACGCAGCAGCACCCGCTAGAAGAAGAGCTACGAACGCGCACGCATCACGCACACACACTCGAATATTTTATGTCGAGCTACTGCAGCACAGCAGTAGTAGGATCCATGCATACTTCTATATCATCTGCACGCCCGTCCTTTCGCCAGAGCACTTCAACTAACGTGATGATGATGATCTGGCAGCTCCGCGTTGTTTTTTTTCGCTCTCTTGACTCCATCTATCGGTAGGTTCTTTATTGGAGTGAACACCCCACCCAAAGCAATCTCGCCATCATCAATTATCCATCCATCCCGACGCGTCCGTTTGTTGACAACTCGGATGGCAGAATATCTGCACGGTGATTCCTTTGCTGCCCCAGTGACGGAACCTCTGCGCTGGTGTCTCCTTTCCTTCATCGATTCATTGAGTATGTGCAACATTTTGAAAGCGTTTTACTGTAGCTCGCAGATGAATGGGTTTCACCGTTTGTTTATTGGCGGGCTTCGCCCGCGTAATTAAACTCATAAAAGCTCTGTCCCGGTACATTAAAAATTTGCCTGCCCGTTGGCACGTGGGAGGGAAAAAAAAAATGGTGGTGTAGAGTTGACGCGTTAACGCCGGTCATGTTCACGACCCTGGGTTGGTTCGGGCTGCCACCCAGGGTCGACATACTGAAGCGAAGACTTACACTCCCAGGCTACCAGGAGACTAGGTGTACCCCTCCGCCTCATCCCGCCGACCTTCCCTCTTCTGCCGCGGCGACTAAATATCACAGATGAGTGAGGCAGCTGCTCGCTGTACTGCTGTGTACTGTGTACCGATGTCACTGCGGCAGCAGAGCACCGAACCCCGTGAGGGGGCGGGCGAAATGCATCTACTGACTGACCAAGTTCGTGTACCCTCCCTTAATCCTCTCTATGTGCTCCCTTCGAGGGCGGGACTCCCCCGATTACTGCCTATGCCCCTTTTTGCTGCTGAAAGCCCGTGCGCAATCGCGATGGGTCATCTACCGAACGCGCGCGCCGAACACGCGAGTCCGGCCACTGGGCCGCCGTGAGAACTGCCGAGACGTACGTGTGTGTGCAAGACCGCTAGGAGCAATCAGTAGGCATGGCCAATGTGTTCGCTGCTGACCGCGCTCCTTTCGTGATTTGGTGATGGTAACAGAGCACAGAGCAAGCGTGTGCGAGCCACAGTCTGGCGATATTTGAAGTGTCAATCTCTTCGCGCCGGTTTAAGTTTTGACACTTTTTCCCAAAAATGTCGCCGTCAGAGTTTGCCTCCAAAAAAGCGGCGTAACCTCGTCACGTCAAAACTTCCTGAAATGTCAATCTTTCACGTCATTTCAACAACACGTGGATTCCCTCTACTACTGTATGCCGGTATGATTTCTTTCCCTGGTGTCTGGAGTGGCGTCGCTCCGCGGGAGAGATGACCGAGTTGCGTGCAGCCTCACTAGTTAACCCATTGAAGAACTCGATACCTTCTTGTCATACTCCGGTGTATGGAATGTCAGCACGTTCAGCGTTTTGATAGTGTAGTCTTCCGTATGGGGATCGCGGTTTTGGAGGCATCGGACCAGAAGGACCAGAAGGCATGCATGGCATTCCGAGAGTGCGTGCAGCGGCTGTACAGTAGTGCGATCAATCCCTCCAACGTATCTCGCCTTGGTTCAGGGAACGTCCCTTGTTGGGCCCAATCTGTTGATGGACTACATATAATACTCATGTTCTGTACTGCGTATTGAAGCACTCGCTCTTCAGCCATCTAGTCTAGACACTGTTATTGCGAAGCCGTTGCCGCTGCGATTAATCGTTTGCTTACTCTGCGTTTTGCCGCGACTTTCCTACCGACTATGTAGTTTCACACCAACTTTACCCACTCTGCGGAATATTCTGTAGGCGTATGTAAATGCTGAGGCTCCCTGTGTGAACTCTATTCATGTTAGACCACGAGATACACATAATGTAGAACGACATAAATGACTGGGGAGCTCTCTTTCAGAAATGGTGCGGTCTCTGCAACGTCTGTCGAGGGCCATCGATTCTCTATTTTCCGTATTCCTCCCCACATACATATCACGAGGGGAAATTTGTAGCCAACCTCTTGTGGCCGGCACACGAGTCCAAGTCTAGTGGGGGGTCGGTGAGGGTAAGTAGACGTGGAGGACTCCAGGGTACCCGATGAGGTTACACATGTACTACTTCTGCTTTTTGCTCTCGACTCCGGCCTTACGGCCGTGGCTTCCGCAGCACATGCAAAAGATATTCACGCGTTGGCCTCCCGACCGCCCCAATGTTTCGGACAGACGCCCGTTTCCTCGTAATACAAGTATTGTTTTACTAATGATGCTGTGATACTTGTAATAGATGCGGAGGGCGACGGCGGGGGCTGCTTCACCCTGTCAGACCTGTTTGCCTGGCAAGGGTTTTACAACAACGGCACCTCCAAGGGCCCAATATTCGTCCTGGACAGCAACGACAGCGTCAACAAAACGGCCACCACCACCACGGGAAAGTGGCTCCTCACGGCGGACCTGTTCGTCACCGGCGGAGGTATAGAACGGCCTATAGCATATAGACCACCCTAGATTTTAATGTTCAGGCTTGGCTTCTACGCTGAAGCACGTGACGGCTGTTGCGTCTTTCTTTCCGCCATGCGTAGACAAATTGGTTCTTCGTTTTCGATGGGTGTCCGTCCGCGCGACTCTTTGACTACGTATGTAGCTGAGCAAAATGAAGAGTCGTACGCGGCGAAATTCCGTGTATTTGAGGGTATGTAGATCACGTGAGGAGGCGGGTGAACGGCCGGATTTTTCTCGACGCACTCTTTCCGAAAGTGATAAATCGTGTATCATTCTAAGTAGTGTTGACTTTTGACTACTTCAAGAGTCTAACCGCTCCTTCTCGTACTTGATATAGGTGAATATTGTCTACAGTAGGAACAGTTGAGGGGAGGACATGTCTATCTATGTTCTGAGACAGTTGGTGAAAGACGTTAGTTCCAGTGCACTGCGATTGGCGCATCTTCACGCCTCTCAAATGCATGTTGGCGTCTAGGGATGAATATCGGCGTTTTTGTTTTGAAGCACCGCGAACGGGATCAGCGAGATAAATCATTCTGATAGTCGCACAGTGATTCCATCCAGCTTCTTGTACTTTGCGATACGGGACAATATCGGAGTTAAACCAGCTGACTGAACAAAGGGAAGGGTGCAGGTGACAGCAAGATGGGTACGCGCCGTTTGGCATGTTGCACAACTTTCTGTCCCCGCAAGAGTGAGCAAGAGTGAGTGACACTCTATCGTTCGTTCGCCGTGTTGTGTGCTGTTGCAGCTACGTTATACTGCCGTGGTATGGGCGTCGGGGGGAACTGTGCCGAACTCCGCATCCGGTCAACGAGTGGAAGCGACTTCTTCGAGGTGATCCACGAGAAACAGAAACATTAAGGAAAAACACAAGACGGCGTCGACTATAGTATTAATTTTTGCTACAGTATTTTGCTAAAAAATCGTCGTGTTGGCGTTGCCCTCAGGGTGGGCGGACGCTTTGGCATCCACCGCAAGAGTACCACAACTTCAAGTTCTTAGTCGAGAGGACTGAGAGAAAGTCGTTAGCGATCCGACCTTTAACCTTTTGACGTCTCCACCACGCGCCGCTGGCTGACGATATCACCACGGCTGACAGCCCAGAGTCCTGATGATCACTGTTGCTTTGCTGTGTCTTTTGCTCCATGGCGTGTCCACTCCGCGCCCGCAGATTCGTGGACACGGGGGCAACCTCTACTTCGAGGACACCATTGTCACGTCATGGGACGTTGACGGCCGCAAGCCACAGGAGACGTACAAGGGCGGAAGATCTTTCATCAGATGCGTGTCGGAAGTGCTCACAGGCGAGGACACCTGCGCGATTAATAACATGGGAGAGTGCCGCATGGTGAGCAACGAGTGTAGTGTTGCCCTCGGTGCGGTGTCTGGCCCGCGTGGGTGGTGGTGGTTGTCTCGCGCGTGCCCAAGGTGTGTTGGGGAATGCTCAGTAGATGGGCTGTCAGGCTAGGCTGGCCATCGGACAATGCGAAGAACAGACATCACGTGATGCTGTTTTCTCCATTCCCTATGTTGCCTAGCCCACCGCTGCTGTTTCCGCGTATCGTCAGTACACGCCATTCGGTTCCCACCGCGGCGCAATATTTCGATTTTTTCCAGTAGATAGCACCACAAAATGATGAAGCAAGCTCTTGGTGCTGTTGTTGTTTCCGTTCTCCCCACCACCTGACTGACCTACACAGGACATAATCGATTCGGAGATGGGCTATTTGGGTTACGACGCCTCTGAGGCTTACGGCATCACCTGGAAGGTTCGCGGCTTCTGCAGCGACCTGTGAGTTGAGGAAGAGCGCAGGAAATCAGTTGGACATTTCGTAGAAAGATTCCTACAAAGCGGTCCTGACACCTGGTTTGTCCGTCAACCAGGAGGGAATGTGACCGATGGAAACTGTAACTCCCAACACGATGGTTGCGTGTTCTTTGGTCGGCAAGTCGAGTGAAAACATACCTTCACGCGTGCCCTACCGCCAGTCGGCTGTGGAATCGTCTCGTGCAACGAGCTTGCCCATTAGCCCCCTTCAGATCTCGGCAGGGCTTCGCCGCCACACAGGACCCAGCTCAGCCTATGATGAACAGCAGAGGTCAACTTTATCTTCTGGTATGTAACCTTTGGCTACTAATACGCCGTCAACTTCAGAAAGCGGCGTTTTCGGCGGGAACGGTTTGCATTGACTACTAGTGGAGGCGGTCGTGTATAAGTATGGCAGTAATGCTTAGGGTTTGAGCAGTTTTCCTCTCTTGCCGGCAAAGTGAGCCGACACCCCAAACCAGGCGGAGAAAACCTCTTGCTCGATGGCGTGTAAACCTTGCACACACTTATGTAGGTCCTTCGAGTACTTTGGCTGTGGGCGTTCTACCCCAAACCTCACGCACCGACTTGAATGAACTTGACCCTGTCACTGAAAACCGAGAGAGACACATTTATCCGTTGACACCGATGTATGTAGAACACAAAAGAACTGTAGAACACGAAAATACAGTTCCACCGTGTATGGCATTGTAAAGTAGTCCAACTCCTCGTCCCCTCTTTATCGTTAATTCTTGACTTCGTTCCGGATGGTTGGCGAATAGGAGCGGCACCACTGTTTTCTACAGTCGGGCGTCATGTCTATTGCATGCCAAGAAGCCTGTCTGCGTACAACACAATATACCATGGTACACAACAGACGCCTACTTTCCCGGCCGGTGGTATCGTATCGTGTTGAGTTGTACCCTACATATCTACTCTGCGCCCCCAGCGGTCCATCCCAGAGGTTTTCGCGAACGTAAACTCTTTGCAGACGTCATGGGTTGGGACATCCGCCACACCTGCAACAGAATGTACTCACACAGTACGGTCGCCGAGGCCTGTCTGCAAGCCTGGACGAAACAAAGAGCATTCTTTCCGGCCTGGCCGCTGCCTCTCGTCTGCTTCGCGTGATAGGTCCAACCCCGACGTCTTCGACGACGTGAACGTTTACGGAGACATGAAGGGCTCCGACATCCACAACATGTACTACGGCATGTACTCCTTCGGTCATCAGGGTGGCGTCTGGACCAACAACCTTATGCACGACAACCATCAGTATGGTGAGACTATTTTTCCGTGCGCATCCGCGAAAGTGGTAAGTACAGCAGTACCGCAGCAAGCAGTACAGTACACGGGCAAACGGGGGGGGGTTGAGC